CCTGCTGATGGCCAGCCCCCCCGCTGTGTCACCCCAAAACACAGCTGTTTCACAAGCCACAGGAAACATCCTGGGGAGAGCCAGGAGCTGGCTTCACGGCATCTTCATGCCCTGACCCAGCTGACCACAGAGGGGTTCCCAGGTGTCCCTGCACCCCAACGGCTCTCCCCACCCTCTTGTACTGGGATCCGCAGGGCACCCAGCTATGGATACAGGAGGTAGCGAGGTCCCGTGCCCCCAGCACCCCTCAGACTTCACCCACCTTCCAGCAACTTCCTGAGCTGCTTCTCCTTCTTGGCAATCTCATTCAGGAAGAGCTTGGAGTTGAGGTGGCCGATCTTGGGTGGGGGCAGGCTGCCACCTGTACAGTTCTGGGTCCTGTTTGGGACCACAGGCAGAGAGGAGAGGCATGAGGGACAAAGCACAGGCAGGGGAGGTGAGGAAGCCCCCCCGCTCCTTCCCCCGCACCCTCCCAGGGCCAAACCCCTTCCCCAGGGAGGCAGCGCTGAGGGCAATGGGGAGCCAGCCCTCTCCAATGGTCCAGACCCTTCCCAGCAGGACCTTGCCCACCCAGCCTTGCTGTGAATGTCCTGTGCCGACACGCACCTCCCACAGCCCCTGCATCCCCCCACATCGCCCCGGCTCTGCTAGTGCTGGTTTTAACCCTGGGCCCTGGAGAGAGGAGGAGAGCAGAGCTGGACTGAGCCCTGCGCCCCAACCTGGCTAGTGCCATCCTGGCTGGGGTGCTGGGTCCCAGCTCTGCTGTTGCACAAACACACCACTATGTTTCCCCTAGTCCAAAGGGAGGACCAGTGCCCCCGGGAGGGGATTCTTCATCCTCCCAGACACAGAGGGAAACTGAGGCACAGAGCACGCCTCTCTCGGGCCCTGCAGCATCCCTGGCCCAGCTCCTCCTCCAGACATCATGCTGCTGCTGCCCCCGCGACAGCCCCCCTTCCCCCCGAACACGCCTGCCCTGCCACACTTACCTGTCCATTAAGATTTTCACAGACTTGGTGTTCTAGGAGGGGAAGGAGAAGCCCTGGTCAGTAAGGACAGTCCCTGCCCCGGCAGCCACCTCCCCTTCTGCAGCCCCCCAGGAGGGGACAGGCTGCCCAAGGGTGCCGAGCCCCCTGTCGCCCCGGCACAGGCTGCCCCAGCCCCATCTCCAGCTGCGGCATCTCCTCGTACGAGGCCAGTGCTGAGCCTGCCCCGCTCCTCCTCGCCTTCCCCCTCTGCTGAGCTCTCTAGAGGCACCAGCACGTCCCATCAGAGCCCCCAGCCCAGTCCGCAACGCTTCCTACAGAACCAGGCCTCCCCCTGGCCCCCTCCCACCCCCAGCACGGGCAGCTCATCTCACCTTCATGAAGTTGATGTCCTCGGTTTTGTCAAACATGACCTGGACAGAGCTGAGGAGCTTCTTGGCCTCCTGCATGCGCTCATTGAGGTGAAGGACCTGGGCTGCGTTCTCATTGCAGAACTTGGCCTGGGCCTTGTCCAGGATCTCCATGGTCTTCCGCAAGTCCTCGTCCAAGATCTGGTGCATCTTCTCGTACTGCAGGCGCACCTCGTCCTTCAGCTGGCTCACCTTCTCCTGGGGGAGAGGAGCAGGGTCAGCCCCTCTGCACCCTCCAACCTCCGCTGTGATGCCCCAGGACACCTGGGTCCTTTCCCCAGCAGGGCTGGGTGCGACCCGAGAGCTGCCCCACAGTTCTGCTCTCCTGCAATGCCCGCAAAGACCAAACGCTGCCGTCAGCTGCCACGTGGGACTCCTACGTGCCGGGGACCCAACAGAGCCACTGTGGAGGTTTGGCTAATCCAGCAGATCCCCTGGGCCGACCTCCTGGGGTCTAGGTGGGGATCGCCTCTGGAGAGCTAATGCCAAGCAACAACCTGCCACACCACTGAGGCAGGTGTGCTCCCTTAAAAAACCCTGCCCATCCCCATCCTCATCCCCATTCCCATCCCCATCCTCATCCTCATCATCCCTGTCTTCATCCCCTCCCCAGGCTGGGGTCACACCATGCTCCAGAGCCCTTCCCTCCACACTCTGGGAGGCCGAGGGGCTTTAAGGACCACGAGCTGATCTTGTTTTACCTGTGTCCCAGCAAAACACTCACTTGCATCTCTTCCACCTCCTGGGTATTTCAGTGGTTTATTCAGACATCTCCCATCTCCAGACCCTCCCCTCCCACTCAGGATGAACTGGGTGGCCTGGGGAAGCCTGTGCTGACCTGAGGCAGGGGGGACCACCTGATATTTAAGGACAGCCTCGTTCCTTGCCTCCCAACTCACCCCAGGTCCCATGAGACTGTAGGACAGCCCCAAACACATTTCATCTCCCAGAAGTATAACTTCCAGGACAGGAATGGAGACAGCATGTCCAGCCGGCCGCTCTTCACCTGCGTGTCCTCCCTCCTCCCTGCCCACCTGACCCCTACGCCCTGGGAGCCTGTCCCCATCATGCCATGTGGTGACAGTCCCAGGGCTGGCCGCAGCAGGGTGCAGCACCAGTTACCTCGACCAGCCGCTTGTCCGATTCTAGCTTGTAGAGCTGCTCTTCAATGTCTTGCTCCCGCTCCTCCAGGCGGTCCTGCTGCTTCATCAGCATCTTCTGCAGAGACGGACGAGAAAAGCAGCCGTCAGAGCCCGGTGGCCACACATGCTGGGAAGCTTTGGTGCCGCCCGCCCCGGCTCTGCCCATGCGGTTTGGAAGGGACAGGGCTTTTTCCTAGTGGGATGCCATTGCCAAGCTGAAAGCCCACACATGGCTGGTGGAGGTGGAAATGTCGCTATTTCAACAGCCATGCAGAGGGGCCGTGTGTGCTGGGCTGCCTTATCAGCTGGGGACCTTGATTTGGGTCCCCTGGATGGGGGCAGTCCCTTGCCAAGCCCTGGGGACCCCAGGGGACACACAGAGAGGCTCATCTCCCACTCTGGCAGCACCGTTTTGAGGCCCATCACCCATCGCTGGCAGGCTCCCGCGAGACGCTGCCACCCCCCTCGCGCCCCCATACGCCACGCCAAATCCTTTCTCCCTTCCCCGCCTCTGTGACAAGCCCCAGAGCCAGCATCAACATAATCAGGAGGGACAGAGAGAGGAGGAACGGGGCCTCCCCCCGCCACGCTGCCAGCCCCCGGCCCCCACTCCTCGGGGCTGGGGCTGGGCCATCAGCCTCATAACTGGGACAAAACGTTATCCCCAGCAATCAGCATGAGCGCCTCGCTCCTGTGCGCTTCCCTGGCCAGGATGAAACCCACTGCCCAGGAGAGAAGGCCTCCATCCCTGCGAGCAAGAGCAGGGCTTCCCAAAACACCCCTCAAAATCAACTCCTAATTTTTTCCCACCATGGTTATCCCAAGGGAAAGCCGCCACACTGGCGGGGCAAAGAGGATGGCTTCGCCCGGCACGGAGATGCAGCGTTAGAGACTCTCAACGACGGGGGCGAGATGGGAAGAAACCGGCAGCAAGGATGAATTTCGAGGGGATTATTGCTATTATAAACTGCCGCTTGGGGATTTATAATCAAGTAATTAATTCCTGGACGAGGCGGGAGGGGGAGGGTGGCAGAGGCACTGCCGGGATTAATTGCATCGCAGGGAATGGCTGTCACCTCCGACCAGGAATGCGAAGCCTCCTCCCTCCTGTTGTTTTTCTTAAGGTCTCGGACACCTCCAGCCTCACTGCCGCTGGGCTCGTACCACTAATAATAACAAGGAGCTAAAAAAACCCGGTTTCCCACTTGCAGTCGCACCCATGCAAACACATGGAGATGGACACAGACAGCACATCCACTGAAACAGGGTCTGAGGGGCAGCATGCGCGCAGAAATACACGGGCCTGCAGGCATCCAAGGGCATCGCTGCTGCTGTTTTTAACACCAGCTGAATAGGTGGGAGAGCCCATACGGAGAAAGATTTGATACATATATTAAAAATCTCCTTTTTTCATCGTAAAAGGGTCGTTATTTGCGCTGCTGCGGCGCCAGGAGGCTGCAACCCGCTCCTGGGTTAAATACAGTGGGAACTGAGCTCCAGAGAGTGGGTGCAACACCGCTTGCTTGGAGAGAGCCAAAGGCACAGGCAGGAACCGCATCCCAGGTCCTGTGCTGGCAGCCAGGCCAGGGTGCGGGGCTGCTGGTGGCTTTTCCAAGGGCTCAGCCAGGGTTTTGGGTCCAGCACCAGGCAGAGCTGTGGGGTGGGTGGGCAGCAGCCCCGTGCAGCCGGGCAGGGAGGCAGCGGGCAGCAACCTGCTCCGGCAGTGGTGCAGGCAGGTGCACGTCAAGAGGACCTGCTCTAAAGCACCACTGGCTGAAAACACGGTTTGCAACATCCCTCTGTGAGGGCCTGGTGTGGAGCACAGTGAGCACACCCGGCTCTGGATCCTGCCCCAGCATCCACAGGCTGGAATTTCCCCACTGAAATTGCAGTTGACTGATGGGAAAGCCACCTGGCTCCAGGGAAGGAGATGCCTTCCCGCACCCCTGCTTGCAGGAGGCCAATCGAGCCCTGGAGCCGGGGCAGGTCTTGCAAGGCAGGCTGAGTTTCTTGCTCTCCAAGCTGGAGAGCCAAAAGACATAGCGAGCCTTCGCGCCGAGCCCTTCCCTACGCCTCCCTCCCTGCCAGCAGAGACTCGCCGTCTCCACTGCGAGCAGCCAGACCCACCCCACACCAGCCCACCGGGAGGACGGGGGCCCGGGAGCAGCCGGGTCCCCTGCCCGCCTCCCCTGACCACCAGCTGGGGCAGGGCCAGGGAAAAACACGGGACGGGATCCAAGACTCGCAGCTCGTGGGGCACAGAGGCCAAATCCCTATCCCGCCCCAGCGTACGCATCAGGCATCCGACGTGGAGCCACCCTGAGGCAGCCCCTGCTCACCCCCCGGCAATGCTGCCGGGATGCTCTCCCAGAGGAAAGCAGGGTTTCCCATCACTGTGAGGGACAGGGTGTGAGGGACCCCCGAGGGACGGACCGAACAGCCCCGGACATGCACGTACCATCGTCCCCTTCCCGCCGCCCTGCAGCTGCCGTGGCAGAGCTGCCAACCTTTGTGTTTTGTAACAAACCTCAGGGTGCTTCCCTCCTGGAATCATACAATTATGTGAAATCACAAATATATACATAAATGTATATATATAAAAATAACTTTTTATATATATACATTAATTTAATAGCTCCTCACAGCTGGAAAAAGTGACTGAAATCCAACCGAAAGCCATAGAAATCAGAGAGAATAGAGGACATGCAGTGTTTTCTTTAAATCTCACACTTGAGCCACTCTCTTGATTTTAGGGCGATTTAAAAACGGTACGTGCCTGGGATTGCAGCGGGATGGGAGGGCTTTTCACCCACGGCAACCAAAACCTTAACAAGACACATGGGTATGAACTACCCCTTCTGGCACCGAGGGGCGAAATCTCATTGTCTTTGCAGCACGGGCTGAATTCCTTAGGTATTTTGAAAAGGAAAATATATCCCTTCCCCTTCCATCCCCTCCCAAATCTGGTATTTCTGAAGTCATGAACTCCTCCTCCTCCAGGATCAGAATTTCTCAGGGTAATTTCTCATATTTCATGCATGACCTTGATGCTGGGAGAACCGCAGCTCCCTCCGTACAGGCGCCCAAGCTCCAAGCAACAACATGATCCCAGTTTGTCTGTTCTGAGACACTCCACCAGTTTGTGAAACGGACGCCAAAAATGCTCTGTATTCCAACACCAGCTGAGAGTGAACTCATCTAATTAATTAATATGTTAATCTCCGGCCAGGGTAAGTGGCTGGTCCACCCCAACCCCGCAGGCCACAGCGAGATGGGGTTAGTTGCTGGAAACCAGTTTATTCTGCTGGAGTTGCATGTCGTCTCCCCCCTCCTGATGGGGAAAAATAAAGCAGGGAGAAAAAAAGGCTGAGCCCTAAGAAGAGGTTAGCAGGGCTCTCTGCAAACACGCCGTGGGCATCAACCCTGCGCAGGAGCAGCACCGCCGAAGGTAGAAGGAGAAAGGAGCGGAGGTTATCCTTTGCTCACTGATCAGGAGCCCCACCACTGGTGGAGCAGGGTGCATCCCGGGGAGCAATCGTGGCAAGTGGGGTGGGTTCAGGGTACTGAGGTCACGCACGGGGAGAGAAATGCTACTTGGGGGCCATCTCTGCGGGAAGCAAGGCAAGCGCTGGAAGGTCTCATTCCAGGGCGGACGCACACAGCTGGTCCCCATGGGATCGTGCCAGGGAAAGGCTTGCTGACCATCACTATCCACCCAGTGCTTGCTGGGAGGAAACCACTGCCGAGGAAACCACGCTCGCCCCACGTCCCCCTTACTGCACCTCCCAGTCTGCCCCCCCCGAACCTGCACGTGGGCAGCTCTGCACCGACCCCAACTCCCAGCGGCCACTCCAGCACGGGACAAGTCCAGCCCCCCAGGTAGGGGACAGGGGGACGTTTGCCAGGGGACAGGGCTGCCCCGACAGAACTTCTGCAAGATTAAATGCCTACAGCCACAAGACAGAAAGATGGTAATAAAGAGTTTAACAGCTCCGACGATACAGGGCACCTGGGCTCCTCATCTGAGAGTCATTATAGGGCTGCAGCATGGCAAGCGTCAGCTGTGTTACATGCACAGGTCCAGCTCAGCCGGCTGGGCAACCTGCCACTGCAAAGGGGGGCACTGGGGCGTGGGAAGGAGCTCACACCCACTCGAGACCTCCCAGGCAGGGAGAAATCTGCGGGCAAGATGCCTCCCTGGCTTGTCTCAGGCTGGTCTCACCACTGTCCTCTCCCAAAGGACAGGGCTAAGTCTGCGGTCACTGCTGGGTCGCTGCTGAGCCTGTGATAACGGCGGATTATGCCCCTGCCCCGCCTGGAGCCCAGTGCTCCCCTTGTCCCCCCTTTGAAGCCCCCAGCAGCCTGTGGCCCTGGGGCTGGCACTGGGGCAGCAAAATCCCTTGACATGCCCCAAGGTTTCGCCAGCTCCGAGGATGGCCAGGGTCCCTGCATGCCTCCCGGGGAGAGCTGGCAGGGGAGAGCCTGCAGCACCCTTTCCCCAGGGGCTCAAGCACTCGCCAGCCCTTGCCCGACTCCCAGCAGGACCAGGAAGGAGCCGGGCAGCTTCACCAAAGCCAGAGAGGTGCCCCTCGACCCGCCAAGCAGCTCTGGTATTAAATGAGAGTGGGACCAGTGAAATGCCTTACTGTGTTCATGGGCGAAATGAAGCCCATGCAGCTTCTCTGATGTCTAATAAGGGTTGTGCATCCTTCAGGGCTGTTCCCCCAGCCAGAGCAACCGTGTCCCTGCACACCGACCTGCAGGACGCTTGCAGGATGCTAATTCCCAATAAACTGGGCTGAAACCGCCTGCAGGTTTGGAGGGTACTAGAGGAGGTCAGGTGGACAAAACACAAGAGCACACAGCTCTTGTTCCCATAGGAAACCAGGGGGAGCAGAGAGCCAGACTGCCCCACTGAGTGCCTTTAACCGCAGCTGGACGGCTGGCCCAGGACAGGCGCGCTCGCTTCTCTGCCTCCCTCCTTCCTTCTCCTCTGCGCCCGGGCCTTCCCCTCGCCGCCAAATCCCAGCCGCCGAGTGAATAAGGACATTGTTTGCAGCCACCGGAAAGCCAGAA